CTTGGTAAGTAGAGATAACTATTTAATTGTCAAATATTGGCCTACATGCTCCCTGGACAATGTGCTCTGGAAATCTCAGTTACACTTATTTCTTTCATTTAAGGTTTAGTAAAATACTTAATGCAGATTTAGCACCATAAGCTTTATCAGCTTATCAGCATTTAAAATTGTAAGGAATTTATTGGGATCTTTCCATTTGCTACCACAGAAATGAAACAAGTTAGTATCAAACAGTAATAAAATAGAGTGAATAATAAAGAAGAGAGGAAGGTAGTCAATGGTAATACTGGAGAAGGCAGTTTTGGGCAGAAAGAGCACTGGGATTTGGGTCAGTGGGATGATGGAAGGACTCCATGTAAGGAAAGGTGAAACTGCAAGGAAGGTATCAGAGACAAAATCATGCCCCCAAGTACACAAAATGCATACAGTTCTTAGGGCTGAAGATCGAATCCAGACCCTCATCCATCCAGTGTTGTTTTTAACTGATGCTGGGAATGTTCTTTGTTTTCTCTTGATGGAGTATGTGGTCAAGGTGAACAAGACTTTGATATGCATGTACTCACCTCATACTTTTATTCATTGCACAAATATTAAGGCTCTTTTATGCCAGGCATTGCACTTTACGCAGTGGAGCAAAGCAATAATTCAGTATAATACCCAATGACAACTTATACATAATATTGTGGGAGAAAGAAGAAGGAGCAACAAATGGTGTCAATAGTATGCAGAAATCTCTTCATGGGAGGAATAATATTTGTCCTAAGTCTTGGATCTGGGTAGGAGTTTGTCAGGTGGGTAGATCAGGTACTGTGGGGATGGAGTGAAGATCTAAGAGCAGAAGTGATTCAATAAGGCTGAAAGCTAGAGTGGATGTGAAGTGTATGATCTACAGGTTCCTACATGTGCTGATAATAGGCAGTTATTAAGCTACAGACAAATAAAGAACTAGGTTATCCATAGATAGGATAGGAACTGAGTGATTTTGTTTTAATAGTGGGTAAAAGGGACTATTCTCAGGCCCCAACAAGGAGTTCTTTCTTGCCTTTTCATTATTCCAGAATTACACAAAATACATCTTTTGACTTTGGCATTGCTGAATGTACTAAGCAATGGTTCTAAAATGTTGTCTTCTGATTATCAGTAGCGCAATCATCTGGGAACTTGTTAGAAATGCAAATTTTGCCAGGTGAGATGGTATATACCTATAAATCCCAGCTACTCAGGAGGCAGAGGTAAGAGGATCACAGCCCAAGGCTGCCCTTACCCCAAAGTGGCCTTAGCTTCCAAGGAAGATCTGAGAACCTTGGCCCAAGCAAAAGTGAGAGACCCTAGCTGAAAAACAAATTAAAAGCAAAAAGACTGAGGTGTGGTGCAAGGGATAGAACACTTGCCTAGCAAGTGTGAGAAGCTAAGTTCAAATATATTAAGCACCTGGAGCATACTATAAACTCTAGACAGACAGAGTTATTATCATTAGTACTATTACTTTACAATTACTACTATTACCTGATAAATTTAGGTTAGCCTTGTGAGTATACAGATGATCATGTGGTGTGATTCATACATTAAAACAAAGTAGGTTCCTTGCCTCAGGATATCAACTCTATGACCCATCATTTAATCAATTCAGCTTTGTTTTATCAAACACCATCTACTCAATAATAATTTGTTGAATGACTGGGTGAAGAAATAAACCTATTAAGACACAATTGTCAATAGTGGGGGAAGATGAGAGGTATCACAGTTAAAGCCTATATTCATCCATATGTCAGTGTTTGAGTAGGCTATCAAGGATGGATGAAAATTGTACAAAAGATATATTCCCTTTTAAAGAGTGTTAATAGGTAGAGAAAACAGAAAGAGTCCTTGCTAAGGGAATAGCCTAGAAGAAAGAAAGTATTCTTGATAATGATGATAATGGGAATTTTCTCAAATGCATAATGTATAGAGTTTCATTGGGGAGTTGGTAATGAGACTAAACACCAAAATTTTAATCTAGAAAACAGTTTTATAATATTACTTTAATTGGTCAACTTGAGTGATGTTTTTACTAAATTGACTGCTTGCTTGACCGAATTAGCTGATTATTTTTGCATAATTTTGATACTGGTCAAATCACCCAGGCTCAGATAAATGTAAGCTACTTTAGCTTAATGGTAGCTTAGTCTGTTTTTTTGCTTTTTTTTTTAAGTCTCCTAGGATGGAAAATAGGAAATATTCCTTGGTTTCTGTTTTGTCTTATGTCTATGTTTTATCTTAGAGGATTATGCTGGGTTTATTGGTCACAGACTATTTACTGGACATACTACATTAGGTTATTATATTTAGCTTTATTAAGCCGATTTTTCTAGCAGTCACATGTGAAATTCATCCTACTATGGCAAAAATTTAGAATATTGATGATATTTTAAAAACAAGCCAGGAGTGGTAGCAGTGAACAGATGCAATCCCAGCACTTGGGAGGCTGAGGCAGGAGGATCCAGAGTTTGAAGCCAGCCTGGCTACGGAGAGATTGTATCTAAAAAAAAAAAAAGTATTGTAAAGAATTTAGAAGACACTTTTCAGTTAGTGTACTTTTACAACATCAGGTGTTTATTTTAGCTTTTTAAATTTCTTTAGAGAAAAGGTTTCAAAATATTGTAAGATTTTTCTTTATTTTTGTTCATGTTTGCAAAAATGCAGACATTTTGAGATTATAAAAAATCAGATTTGTGCTTGTTACAGTTTTCATATAAGTAGTTTTTGGATTTCTAGAATGGAGATGGATAGATGGTAGGAATTGATCTTTTTGGAGGATATCTGTTATTTTAGACAATGTGTTCAGGTGCCCATAGAGGATTGTACTGTGGGGGCAGAACCATAGCTGTGGTACACAAAGGTCCCTGGGGGAGGGGCCTGAAATCCTTCCAGCTCTGCTTGCCTTCATGTGTGTCCTACATGAGATGGCAACTGCTCACAGAGTGTCTTTAGTTGTTTTTTTTTTTTTTAACACTCCATGTTTATTGAATTATCAGTTCTCTACAGAAATGTTATCTGGAACATCTACTACTCCTATTACTAGTAGGTAAAATGTAAGTATTTGTTCAAAAATATTGGTGGTAGTGGTGTTCCATAAAGCAAGCAACTCCAAAGCTAAAAGAGTGATTCTTTTTTAAAGGAAGAGGATCTCTGGCAACAGACAAGATGAATTTTATTGAAAACAAGCAGTATGACCACACTGATCAACTTGAACATCGCAAAGTGTTATTTTAGGAGATTTTTATACTTTCCTAAACATGTTAACATTACTGAAAAGTGTATTTCAAATCCCTTCTAGAATTACCTAAAAGCCAGTCATGAACTGCACTCAAATTTCTTGTGATATTTATAGCTATTTGATATTACCCTGATTAGGTATCCACTTTAGAAATAGCTATGAATGGTTTTTGGATGTTTTACAAATTATATCTTTGCAGAATAAAGGCATAATGACAATGAAGAATACTGGAAACAAAGCACTGTAACTCCTGAGGAAACTGCAGAAAAGATTCCAAGGTTATTTCTAAGCACAAAGGGTCCTGCTGCTCAAGGTGACTATTTTGACAAAGAATGGGGAACATGAATGCACTAGCATTCAAGTCATTTTTCCTGAGAGACAACAGATTGTAGTGTTTTAATGTCTTATTAAAATCAGATTTCTAGATTTGATTTGTTTAGTTTCTGTACCTCAGGGGTCAACCTGGTTTCAACAGAAGAGACCTATTAAAGGTCACCAAAATGTGTCTCAGGTATTTTAATCAGTTGACATGGAAAGTAGGAGATACCCGATTCTTGTTAGCCAAGTTCTACCCACCAAATTATATTGGCTCTCAAACTTATTAGATATGTGATCTTAGAATTATTCAACTCCTGGCTACCTTAGGATTCCCTTCTTAAATGGGAAGAATATTGATAACTAATTCTTACAGATATTGTGAAGATTATATGATTTTTTTCCCTGCAAAACATTAGACCAATGCCTGATACATAATAGGTGATAGCAACACTAAATATTGTTAATATAATTAAGTGATTATATAGATTTATATACACTGGCATATAATCTTAATCTTTTGTTTTCTCCATTTTAAAGATGAGTCTGCACTGTGCTTATTATTAAAGAGATTAATTTATTTGTAAGAAATTCAGAGAAACAGGAAACTGCTGAATTAGAAAAAATAACTCATCTACAAATCAGATATCTGCTAATTCCTGGGTCAGCTAAGCAAAATATCTGAGATGCATTTTGGAACCCTTTCTTATATTTTGTTAAAAACATTTTGAGGTGGGGGGTTAGGGAATAAACCTAGGGCCTTGTGCATGCTAGGCAAATACTCTACTTCTGAGCTACACCTCCAGCCTTTAGGGTCCTTTAATTGCCCTCTTTTGTTAGAACCAGCTTGACCCCTGATGGACAGAGACTAAATGAATCAGATATAAAAAAATGATTTTAGGGTTGTGAATGTAGCTCAAGTGATATAGTACCTACCTAGCAAGTGGAAGACCCTGAGTTCAAAGTTCAGTACCACCAAAAATATATGATTTTAATAATATTTACCAAGAATCTGTCTTTGAATTACTGATGTTATTAGTGCTGTTCACCAATTACTTCTTACTTTCTGCCTCCGGCCTTACAGTAGATATTTCCCCGCCCACTTTTGAGATACACATGGCTATATGACTTGTTTTGTCTAATGCAATAGGCATGACAGTGACTGGGCTACTTTCAGAGGGCTCTAGGAGGTGGTGAGGGATTCACTGTCTCCTTTAGCCCTGCTCCACTGACTGCAGAAACACACTGTCAAGTTGAAGTTTCCATCCGTAGGCCAGTATGAGAAATATCCCTTCTTTTACGCCAGTGAGATGTTAAGTTTCTTTTTAGTTTAGGACAATCTAGCATTCAACACCCAATAAGGAATTTCAACACTCAGCACAGGAAGCAGGAGCTGCTAAATCATAATCTCATGAAGTGGAACACATACCTTTTGTGCCCTTCGTTTGTCTGCTCGTTGGTTTTGGTGGTAGATCCGACTGAAGTTGGATACGATCACTGGAACAGGTAAAGCAATGACCAATACCCCACTTAGCGAGCAGATGGAACCAAAGATCTTCCCTGCTATAGTTTTTGGTACCATGTCACCATACCTGGTGAGAGAAAAAAAATATAGATATATATCATTTTAAGTTATAGAAAGATATTCTACCTATCACAAATAGTTTTTTGCATTAAGTCAATGACTTTTAGAAAGTTCTCTAGTTCTACTTCTTGGTAACAATATATATGGCTATAGACTTTAATATGCCAGAAATTATAAATATCTGAATACAAAAACTGCCTTTCAACCTTGTAGAAAATGATTCTAACATTTAGAAATCTCTTTGATTGGAAACTATTTTAAACCATATGATGTAATGATAACACTCTGATTTGTCCTTTATATAATGTAGCATAGTTCTTTCCTTTTATTTAATAGTCAGTGTTTCCATATTGAAATTTATAGTCTTGGTAACATACTTTTCTACTTAATTTTTTTCAACATTGTATTGGTCATGAAATTTAAGTAGAGAAAATAAGACATCACATTCCTTTCATCAGATATAATTACTTAAAAATAAAGCTTTTCAACATCCCCATTAACCTTCACTTTTGAAATCTAATGGCCATTTATTCATAATAACCTTACCCAATCTCTCATTTGTATTTGATTAGTTGACAATTCTCTCCTTGAAACATTTTTGTTCTTGGCTTCAGCATTAGGTTTTTTTTTTTTTTTGTCATCCTCTTACTTCATTGGCTGCTAGTTCTCCATCTTACGTCTTAGCTCCTTTTCTGATTTCTAAATCTTGGGATGATTTACATTTCAGTCTTGAGTCCTCTTATCATCTCCATATAAGCATTCTTCCTATGTGATTCCATCCAGTCTCATAGCTTTCAAGCTATGTGTAACTGATATCCTAATTTATACTGATAGCCCTGATGTCTCTCCTCAAAGCCAAACTCCTATCTTCAGTGGACTTGTCTGATTATTTCTACCCCTAGATACCTAGATGCTAATTAAACTTTAAGTTAGCTAAAAGGAACTCTTACTGACTTCTCTGCCACTGTTAAAACTGCTGCTCCACAGTTTGTCACTATATTTAAATGGAACCCCAAATCCCCCAGTTGCTTTTACCATAACTGAATGAGCCTCTCCCACCTTTGGTATCTGTATCTTAGCTCTGACCAAACCAAAGTGTAACACCATCTGGGTCTCTTTACCTAACCCCCATTTTACTACAGAAAACTAAGCCATTGCCATGTCTCATCAGAGCCATAGGTACAGAATTTTACTTGGCACCAGAGCTGTGTTTTGAAAAATGGAAATTAGATATAACTCTGTTTAAAGTCTCAAATGGACTTGAAAGTAGAATAAATCCAAACTCCTCACTTTTGGTTAAAATGGACTTCATCATTTAGTTCTTGCCTCTGCTTCACACCACCCTCCAGCATGCTCCCTGTCCTGAGTCATACTGGCCATCTAGCCTTCTGCTATGTGTGCAAGCTCCATGTCATCACTAATCAAGTGTCAAGTGTCTCCATCTCAAAAGTTATTTTCTAGCACCTTTTCCCTTCCCTAATCACTCTCTATTTCCTATTTGATTAACATCATTATTCTTATCCACACAAGATATTTTCTTATTTTCCATTCTCCATATACCTTAAAATAAACTTGACACAGCAGGAGCTGTTCTGCTTTGTATCACTAGCATAAAATAGGCTCTCACTATAAATTAGTTGAGTGAATACATTTTCTTTCCTTTACTGATTCAGAGTATGTCTGAGTTCATACCCAGAGAAGGGAGCAAGGAGGATGACTACATTATACATTGAAGGGTGGCCTAGAAAATTATCACTCTTAATGACATTGTTCTTGTGTTAACATGGAGATGGAAGTACAGAGGAATCAGCCAATGAAAGGCTGGTGAGAGTGACAGAAGGTACTACATTTGATGACCCCAACGGGAGCTCTGGTCCTTTCTTTAGAGGCCCTATTACACGTTCTTGTTGTTTGTGGGTGGTCAGCAGTTAAGATAATTCAGTATAACTTAAATTCTCACAAGATTTTGGCAACAGAATGACAGTACTGGATTAATTTATAGTAAAAAAAAATCCACAATAACCAAAGAATTCTGTGTCCATATGAAAGCTGCATCATAACTTAAAGACTATGTTAATGAGGAAAAAGTTAAAGCTATTTAGAAACACCAAACCAAACAAACCTTAGCAGGGAAGTGAAAAAAAAGCCTCAGAACATCCTTACTATAGAGATACGTCAGTGGGCATAGAAGCTCAACTCCTCTTTATACAATGCTGTGTGCTCATGAGCCAATTTCTATAGTAGCCACAGTTCACACCGAGTACCTGGTCGTATTTTATAAACATCTTCTTTCCCTTTGCATTGATTGTGCAGCAGACCCTAAAGAAAACCAACACACACACACACACACACACACGCACACACACACACACACACACACACACCCCAGAGAGAAAGAGAGAGAGAGAGAATGAGAGAGAAGAGAGAGAGAATGAGAGAGAGAGAGAGAGAGCTGTAACAAAAAGGATTTTTCAATGCATACCAATTAAAATTTAGAAAGTGTTTCTCAAAAGGAAAAGTAAATAAAGCTCAACTATTTGTTATGGACAAAAGAGAGAAGCACTGAATCCATGTAATTAAAGTAAGCCTTTATAAATACAAATATGCAAACTAAAGTAGTTAAATTAATCCATCATATATTTTTTTACTGTCCCTGAGAGATTTACTATTTTTTTTAAATTAGTGTTTCGTAACTACATTTGAATTCTAAGTGCACCCTGTCATAGAGCAGGCAAGCTCAGCATGCTTGGAACTATTACAGTAAATTAAAAGTCAGGAGATGATCCACGTTGCTCAAAGGCAGCAAATTCACAGTCTAGAATAATTCATAAGGAGAAATACACAACCAATACTTGGGGTGATTTAGCACCCACAGCTGTGCTAACATGAAACAAATGAAATTGTATCATTTAGCTGTACCATATTGTTTTTGCAATCCAAACTTTCTTCACAATCCAGAAAGTGTAGGTAAGCATTTGAGATGTCTGGACAATATTAAAATGATTGTGGTGGTAAGAGAAGGAAGGACAGAGTGTTCACTGTCAGGTTCATCTTCTCTCATTTTTTACTCTTGGGTAGAGAGACAGAGCTTTCCCAATTAGAATGCCTCCAAGGCTCTGCCCTTGTGAGTTAAGGCAGCAGAAGATGTGAAAAAGCATGGTTTATATCTGTTTTCTTTCCCTTTCGCTTTAGGAATGACTTGGAGAAATGGAAATAGGTAATTTTTATCTCCAAACTCATAATTGGGCATAGAATCAACTGGGGATGGGAAACAACTATAGAAGAAAAAGCAGCTGCTTTTCTTTGGTCAACAAAAGATTTTTAAACTAGTATTCAAATTCATAGCAAAAAGGAAAAACAGCATTATATGTCTCAGGAATTACAATTCTCTGAAACTCAGCGTAGGAAAAGTTTAGGACAGAAAGCTTTATGATGAAAAGTGACACTTTTTGTGGCTAAACGAGCATTTAAACTTTTAAATATTCTCTAAATACTATTATCTCTTAATGATTATTTCTATTCTAGGCAACTTAGTTACCTGTTGATACTTTATTCTTTCTATTCCATAAACACACCTCATTTTCCTGATTCTGTTTTCTTAAGTTTATGCCAAGCCAAGCAATATCATATATCCCATTTTTCCTGTGTTTCTTTTCAGAAATTAATGTGATGCCTTTTATTCCTCAAAAATCCATTTCTCAAAAGATCGTATAGATGTGTTGTTTATCTTCATGCAGATTGTTTTTATATATTTTATAAAATTCATCAAAAGGCTAAAAAGAGCCTAGAAGATGAAAGAAGATAAATATGGACTTCTTACAAAAATAGAAGTAAACAAGGAGAAGATAATAGCAACTCAAGAGTTTAACATTCTAGAGAGACTTGAATTTTGTTCATTGAAAGGTAGCTTTCCTCCCTATGTCTATGGAGGAAAGAAGAAAACTGCCTCTTCTAAGTTCCCCCTCTTCCTCTTACATTCACTATGCTAGTAGAGCTACATAGTTTCTTTCTGCTCATTTCCACCCTAGACAACTGGGAGTTAACTGCTCCTTTTTTTCCTCACATTGGTTAGAAAGATACAAGATGGAAATGTCAGTCACAAAAAGATGTCAATTCTAAATATTCAGTGCTCAAATATACTTAAAATGACATCACTTGTTGTATGTTGAAGATCATATTGTGTGAAGGAACAATTAAGTCACAGAAGATATCCAATATTTGGTTATTGAAAAGTCCAGCCTAAACTATCGTCCAAAAGTTTCACGCAAGGTCCTTAAATACCAAAGTATGTTCTCAACTTACTCAATGCCAAAAAAGTGTTACAGAATCGTCAATTCATGCCAACAACTTGTATTTATCTACTTGTATCTCTTTCTCCTGCACACACACTCTATCCCTCTATACATCTTACCCAATTATCAAGTAACATTGAAATAGGTTAGAAATTATGCTGAGCTTTTAAGCACAACATATTACAAAACAATTTTTATTTTGTTTATTCAGTTTCCCTACTTGGCATTTCTCCAGAAATCATATGGCTAGAGAGTGCAGCCATCCTTAGATCTTAAACAGAGCATTATTTCCTGGAACTTTACTGCACAGACTGTGAACTCAATACTGTTATAGTTCTACTTTTGTTCAAGTAGTTTCTATTTTTTTCTGTTCTTTCCCTTGAAGAGTTTAAATGTAGGTTCATCTGACAAAGGAGAAATGTTATGTAAGGTAAGTTTCCTCAGCTAAGGCATGACTGCGAAACTATTTCCCATCTGAGAGAGAATAAAAATTATGGATTTTATAAACGATCATGAAAGTAGAAGAGACCTTTATACAACAGGAAGAAAATACTCATGTGAAAATAAACACTGATGCTTTCAATCTTTCCTTTTCTCTTTTTCTCATTCTACTATTAAAAGTCATAAATTGCCAGGCATGAGGAATGGAATGATTGGATCTTCTGCAGGTGTACAGAAGTCTAGAGAATCCTGTATATTGTGAGGTACAGGTTTT